TTGCATCATTATCTTATATGTATTTTTTTTCATTTTTTTTACATCATTATCTTATGTGTATATGTAATTATCGATGTCAATTTATGGGTAAATATAGATATGGGGTTATATTCATCTCTATTAAGACTTTATTATTAAAAAAAGATGTATATATAAAATTTGACCAACTTCAAGTAGAAAAATATATTTTAAAAGTTCATAGATTTTTTAATTCTATTCACAATATATCATGTAATATTTCAGATTAATCATTTTTTTTCTTACAATTTTATATTTGATAATAATATTGCATATATAAATAACAAGTGTTGTTTAAATATTAATAATAGTGCAATTTTCTATATTTTAAATTAAATATTATAAAACTACATTTTTAAATTTATCTACATTTTTTTTTTTTTATTAGCACTCGTGTACTACTAGTTAAAGTTAATCCAAAATTATTTCGATTAGCATTTAGTTAACTAATCTATATCTATTAATCTATTAATATATAATATGGATTAACATAATTCACTTTTAGAAACACTTTCCCGCCAACTTCATTAATTATTGTCTAAAAATAGTAAATTAACAAAATCTCCATTTATTAGCATCTCTTTTTTATCCAATTTTTTTTTTTTTTTTTTTTGAATACAATCAAAATATTGAATCAAAATCAAACTAAATCTAAGAAATACACATACCATACTTAATACACTTAAGTTATGAAATACACTTACCATACGTATTTTTAAAAAATTTTAAAATATAATATAAAACATATAATTAATAATTATCAATTAAAGATTCTTTTTAAAAATCACTCACATTTCTAATAATTGTTAGAAATAATTTATATATATATATATATATATATTAGTATTTACGTGAAAGTAACATATACGTTACTTATATGTTAACATATATGTTAACATATATGTTAATCCTATATAATAAGGATTAACATAAATCAAATTTAGAAATAATTTCTCGCCACTTTCATTAATTATCTCCTAAAAATAGTAAATCAACTTTTTTTTTGTTTTTTTTTTAATAATATCAAATACTTTTATATTAGTAACCAATAAGGAATCAAAATTCGATTAAATCTCTTATTTTTCCAAACAAATTGGAAATCCGAATGTAAATCCGAATAAATCATGATTTTAGAAATCGTGATTTCCAAACAATTTGGAAATCCGAATAAATCTCCAAGGAAAATCATGATTTGTATATATCATGATTTTAGAAATCTGTTCAAAATGTTTTCTGCATGAATCTGAATTATAATTCATTCAGCCTATTATTATATTATTAAATTGTTTGAAACCGCATGCTAAGATTTTTATATATCAGATTTCTAAAATCATGATTTGTATATATCATCTTTTCACCAATTACACTTTTTTCTTCATTATCGATTTGAAAAGGAAAACGAATTTTATATACCTTATCGGTTTTGATAATACAATTTTATAATCATTATCATTATTTATTTTAAAAGATAGTGTTTGTCATTTATTTAATTTCAAAAGATGAAAAATTTTTCATAGTTTAGGTCTCTTTTTATTTATGCATTTACACAAATTAATTAAAAAACTCTAATAACGATTGGCAACAAAATTTGTTATATATTGATTCAAACCAACTAATTAATAAAAAAGTCCATCGATCATGAAATTAAAAAATAACACACGATCACTACATTTCAAAGATTAATTTTTTTTAGATAAACATTCATTTATATTGTCATGACGATAAACAAGAGTGAGTGTCACTCTTAGAAATTTGATGATTTCAATTGCTATATTTCCAATGGTTTTTTTACCGTAGAAATTTTCGATGGAATATGCAAATTCCGTTGGAATTTTTATTTCCACCCCGTTGAAAAATCCACCGTTGGAATCGTCAAAATCCAACGGAAATAATATTTTTGTTAGAATTTTCGCTGGAATCCATTGAAAATTTCTAACGGAAATAATAGTATTGAAATATCCTTTAGAATTTTTGTTGGAATAATATCTTTTGGAATAGATTTCCATTGGAATTTTATCATTTTATTGCAGTGTGCCCAATAATCAAAACTAATAATGTTGTTTACAATTAGGTTTTTAATAACATATGATTTTTTCATACCCGAACATTTTATGAGCATTTTCCGCCCAAAACATTAATTATCTACTATAGATGAAAATAATATAAAATGATCTAAATAAAAACTAATTCATTAATTGCATAATTTTCATATAACTCGATTCTCGGTTTGTGTTTGTTTTAGTAAATTCTTGGTTTTCTTTAATTACGTTGATAGTGGTTTTGTAGGCAAAGATTATGTAAATATTATATGTAGCCGATTTTCGAACTCTTATTTATCAAGGATTGTTTTTTATTTTAACAGATTTATTAGAATCATTGATTTGGATTAGCATATATGTTACATAGTACACAAAAAAATATAGTAATATTTAAATTTACATAGCGTCAATTTTGGAATTCTCATTTGTGAGGATTCTTTTTTATTTTATCATAATTATTAGAACCAACAATTACAAAATATATATTTATATTATTATCTAAATATATTTATATTAATGCTTAAATATATTTTTCATTGTAGCAAATTTTGAGAATGAACGATTTTATATGAGATATATACAACTTTTTATTTTTGAGATATACACCAATTCTCTTTATTGGTATTCTTTTTGTCAGTTGTTTTTAAAAGGAAAATTTTTAAAATTTTGTATAGTAAATCAATTTTTTGTTTTTGTATACACAAAATATAAATTTATTGCAAAATATATATGTATAATTTACTACCTAAAAATTTGTCACACATATATTAGGAAAGTTGTCCAATTAAAAATTGTTCAGTTTGAAAATATATAACAAGTTGTCACACATTCAATTAAAAATTGTTTGGCTTGAAAAAATTAGCCTAAAGTAATGTTTGTAACGCCCCGTATTTTATTAATAAAGGAAAATACTAGCTTTCGAGTAAAAGCTAGCCTTTGTTAATAAATATTCATGTTAATGTTCAAGTCCATGTTATTCAGCTAGTTAAGTTCCAAGTTCGACGTTAAGTCAATAATATATCCGGTTAATTTTATTTATTAACCGAGTCAATGATAGTAATTAATCTCAGTCCGTTTATATTAATAAATGGACATCAGCAAGTTGGGATTAATTATTCCAATGTTGACGTATTAATTAAGTTAATCGTCAAAAGTTAAATTCAAGCCATTTATTCAGTTTCAGTTAAAGTCCGACTATTAGTCGATAAATTATTCGGTTTAATTATTTCAGTAACCGGATAAGTTTCCAGATTTAATTCCGATTCGCTTCTTTAATTAATTAGTTCGGAATTAATAAGTTAAGTTGACGAATTATTCGAAATATCAATATTCGGATTAATCGTCCAAGTCAAGAATTCAAAATTATTTTCGAAGTCACGTTTACGTTCGGAATAATTTTGGTATTTAAGTATCCAGCTTAGTCCAATAATTAAGCACATTAAATTGCACTTAATTAAGTAATTAATCACGCTCAAACTATCAAATGCCGTAAGGTTTATGGAGCAAAAGTCATGTGAAACTTCATGAGTTATTAAGCATGAGGTGGCAAGCAATTAATCCCCTAAATCATGACTAAGCTTTGTAATAAGATGACTAAACTATGTATTGCACACCTAAGTTTCCATTCACGGCAAGTGGAACATGTTCATTGGTCAAGAAATATTTATCCCTTTTCTCCATTCGGTTATGCCATATTTATGTTAGAAGTGGGAAAATTTATCCTACACCCAAATAACATCTTAAGCTATAGTTATAGAGAGTAAGTGAGAGTTTATTCACGCTAACCACACGAAGAAGAAGAAATAGCCGCACTGTAACACCCCACTTTAATTTTACAGAAATTCCGGACTTTCCAAAAATCAGTATAAAATTTTCAAAATCATTTTCGAAAATTCAATGGGTGTTAAACAACATTTTTCATAACCCAAGTCTTATTTGGGCTCACGGGGATTCATTACCCGGTTTTCACAAATGGTTTTCATTAACCAAAACACATCACGAGACACAAATCTCAACACGAATATATAACCAAACCATAATACCCAACATCTGGGTTCCAAAAAAC